CGCCACCTCTCTTCATCCAAACTTCTTCAAACATTCTCCCTCTTTAGCATAAGAACTCCTCCATTCTTTTTCAAAGAAAAACATGAGGAGGTGTGGATTTACTACAAGTTCTCACCAAATTTCATCACTTTTGGGTAAGTTACTTCCCCATTAAGTTGAATAAATCCATCTTATGTCTAGATCTTCCTCAAAACATCACAAATCTCGTGTTATTACTCCTAGAGACATCATATTTTCGAGGATCCTCTCAAGAAAGCTTCTAAGGCCGAGATTCTTCTCATCCTTCATCAAAAACCGAAATCTTCAAACCAAAGTGAGTTCATACCCCTTATTTTCGGTTTTTACTATGTTTTGGGGGAGAATACAAGTTGTTTTGTGTAGATCTATGTGTATGCATGATTTTGTGTGTTTTTCATGATATATGTGTGATTATGTGTTATAAACTCCATGAACTTGAAGATCTACTAAAATGTGATGATATTTGTAGAACATAACATTCATTTCAACTTATTATGAAAAGAAAAGTTTTAAAAATACATCAAAGTTACTTAAAACAAAGAAATTTGCATAAGAGGGCCAAAAGTGACAAAATAACCAAAAATGGGGTATTTTTATGTGACTCACGGTTTTTAAGGGACCAAAAAGAATGTATTTTGATAAATATGAATCTTTATGAGATTTGTGATCTTAAAAGGGCTAGAAGTGTAAATTTTCACAAATGGGCCTCATTTTGGGCTTTTACGAATTTTTGGGCCAAGATTGTAAATTTTTGGACTTTTGTTGGCTTAAGTGTCATTTTCAACGAAGTTGTGCCAAAAATGTAAATTTTGATAAGAAGAACAAAAAAGTGAATTTTATTAAAAACTTGAGCCAAAAAGATGAATTTATTTATAAATGGGCCGAAAATGCACATTTTCATAAAACCAAGCCAAAAATAATATTATTGACAAAAGTGGGTTAAAATGTTATTTATACTTAAAACAAGCCTTAAATGCAAATTTTTGTCCTTAAAGGACCTAAATTGTCATTTTTACCAAAAAGGTGCCACAGTTGTAAATTTTCGGTTTTTAGGACAAAAAATGACCTTTTGCAAAAAGGTGAGCTTTTATGTCACTTTGGTAAAAAACATAGCATAAGTAACCAACGTAACAAACCACAGATAGATTTCGGTATTCACGTCCTTATTAGGCCTGGAAATAATATATGTGTTAAATGGGTCTTAGTCGTCCTTTTACATGTATATTGGGCTGGGATATATATTCTCATTCCTTTTGAGCCTGGAAATAATTTACATGCTTAGTGGGCCTTTGTTGTCCACTTACGTGTTTATTGGGCCTAAAATATACCTTATATGTTTTTCTTTTTCATGTAAATTCGATTAAGGATCTAGTGAGACGTTTCGGTTGACACCTATTGAGTGTACGATCATAGCCTGTAGTTATAACCAGAATCTCCTGGAGGGAGAGCGGGAGTTGTGTATAGATCTATACGTGGGTGACACCCCACACCTGAACTGTTCGCTACAGTTAGACTAGGCCAGTCTAAGGTGACAAAATCCTTACCTTATTCCGTCGGCGTCCGAAAAACGCCACGACAGGCAAAATTGTCATTATCTAGTATGGTTATAACGACTCACTTAGAGGAATTAAGGTTATAAAATTTACGGGAAACCATCTTTTCTTTTCTTTTTGGGATAACACGGTAACAAACTCGCGCTGGTACTCAAACTTGAGTGTTGAGATTCCAGCATTCTCATAAGCAGACAACATCGGGTTGTCTGGGGTCCATTCTCCTTATATATTCTCACAAATAATAACACTCATGCATTAATACAAGATCGGACACAAACATTCCAAATATTTCAAACTGTTTTTCAGAAAAATATCGGATTTTCTGGTGTTTATAAATCAATACAAAACATTTTCTCAAACATGCTTATGAACTCACCAACATTTTTATGTTGACCTTTTTTTTTTAAATTAACTTGTATTATCAGGAAATCGTTGAGCAGGTTGGGTAGAAAGAATTCATGGATATTTTTTTATGTTTTGTTTCATCATACTTTGAATATTTGGCATGTAATATTGAAATACAATATTTGATGTAAACCAATGACAGTTGTAATATTACATGTGTGATGATGATGATGTTATGTTTCAATTATATACTCTGTGATGATACTACAAGAAAGAAATCACCCAAGCCCCCGGACGTTTCCGCTGTCTGGTTCGGGGTGTGACACAAGTTACATCTCGCTTCATATAGAGCCACCAATAATCAGGACGGAGATTTCTATACGTCTTTGTCGCCCTGGGATGAATAAAGAATCTCGACTTGTGCGCCTCCTCCATCAAAACCTGTCATGCACCACCCCATTAAGGAACCCACACCCTCCGATGGAGAGTCAATAACCCTCGACTATCATAATCGAAGGAAGCCACCTAACCCACTATGAGCTCACTCTTCTGGTGATCTTCCTTTAGAGCCTCAACCTGAGCCTCTCGAATATGCTCCAAGAGTGGAGTAATCACTATCATCCTCATACATATATCCCTGATTGGAGCCACGATTGCCTTGCATCTGAGAGCATCGGCCACCACATTGGCCTTCCCCGGATGGTAAAGGATCTTAGAATCATAATCCTTCACCACATCCAACCACCGGCGTTGCTTCATGTTCAGATTTGGCTGATCCATCAAATACCTCAGGCTCTTGTGATCCATGTAAATAGTACAGCGGACCCCATAGAGGTAATGTCGTCAAATCTTGAGGGTGTATACCACAGCCCCTAACTCCAAATCATGCGTAGGGTAATTCGCCTCATGAGGTGTCACCTGTGTGGAAGCGTAAGCAATAACGCGACCCCTCTGCATCAAAACTACACCCAAACATGTGATCGACGCATCACAACAAACTACAAAATCCTCAAGACCTTCCGACAGTGTCAGAATCGACGCCTCACACAATCTCTGTCTTAGGGTTTTAAAAGTTGCCTGCTGCTCAAGCCCCCAGCGTAAAGTGACAATCTTCTTTGTCAATCGAGTCAAAGGAACCGCTATCTTGGAGAAATCCTGAATGAATCTCCAGTAGTAACCTGCCAACCCGAGGAAACTCCAAATCTCATATGGAGACCTCGGAACCTCCCATATCATCATGGCCTTGACTTAGGCCGGATCGACCATAATACCATTCTGGTTGATGATATATTTGAATTCAAAACATACCTTTAATTTTTTGTATTTTTAATTTGAATTCTAACAAATTTATTATTTATTCAAATTTTATAAATAAATATGTGTGTATAATACATCTCTATCTCTACCCTAATAAATGAAAAAGAACATCATATTCAAAGAAGTATTTGAAAATTTTGATTCATAACAACTATTTAAAATATGTCAATATTTTTTTTATTAGTATAGATTTAATACTACTTATTCATCATTTCGTTTGTATTTATTTCGAAAATTAATTTAAAAAATATTTAACGTTTACACCTTAATTTTCAACATCATTATTTAAAATATCTCAATAGTTTTTTTATTAGTATAGATTGAATTACTTACTTATTCATTATATCGTTTGTATTTATTTAAAGTATTTTTTAAAAAAAAATTATTTAATATTTATACATTGATATTAAACTTTTATTTTTAATAAACTCGTGTAGTACACGAGTCTCACAGCTAGTTAGTTACAAACTAAAAAGTTTTTGCTTGATCTCCCATCACACCATGTGGTCTTACTGTTTGATAATTTTAATAATCTTCTATGTTTTATTTATCTTTATAATAGTTCTTTTCATCTTTTTATTTATTTATTTGTTTCTTTGTTTGTTTTTCTGAGATCAAATACAAAAACATCTCAAATATAATAATTTGTCTGTAAATTAATGTCACATTACCCCGTAGGACCACCCCTCTCTTGTATCCATGACCCATACCAAAGAGATAATGTTGATGTGTAATAGTTCAAATTCCTCTTTGAAATCATTCACCGCTCCAAATACCTACAAAACCCCTACCATGATTCTCCTTTGGTTTCATCTAAAATCAATGCAACCCACATAGACGCATTCACCTCCACCCAAACCCCATCGGACCTTCACCCTCCACTGTTAAGATGAAGTTTTCTAACCACCTTGACCATGCTAACTCATTTGGTGAGTCCTTGTGTAATGGTTGTGGTTCAAGTACAGAGCCATGAATACCTTGTGCTACTGAGAGGAGGGAATGTGATTCACGCGAGTTCTTCATCATCTTCTGAGTTTCTTGGTTGTATGCAAGTTAGAACCTGCACACAATCAAGAAACTTAAAAGATGATGAAGAACTCAGGCAACACCCATCCCAAAAACTGGATATATAGTAAGTTTTTTTTTTTCCGGAGTGAATTGGCTTCTAGTGATCATACGCAATTGTTGTTTCAATGCGTATTGATCACTGAACTTGCTAATTCCGTAAAAGATACCAAGGGTGGAGGGTATTGTTGCAGGATAGAGAAAAAAGGTGATGGTAACCGCAACGATTCCGGCGACAGGCAGTACCAAGAAAAGAGGCGTTTGGCGGGTTGTAGAAGCTGCAACATCTTCCTCTCTCTTTCTATTATTTCTTTCTTTTTCGATATATATATATATATATATATATATATATATATATATATATATATATATATATATATATATATATATTGTGTTTTTGGGCGAATGGTCCGAGATAAATTTCGAAGAGACGAGCTGCAACTCCGGCCACCACACTGACAGGTAATGATCAAGAAGCAAGCTAGGGTCGAATGGAAAGCTTGTATATACCTTGGGTGGCTTGAAACTTCGAAGAGACAAGCTGGGAGTTTCTGTTTTTTGCAAAAACCCTAGATGGTGGCAACCTTCTTCTTTCACAGATTTCTTTCGGTAATGGGGTTAAACAGATAGATATTGTCGAGTAGCCGACTTGATGAAATGCTTGAAAAACAAGTGCATGATAATAATAATAATAAAAAAGTATGAACGCTATAAGAAAGCTTTGGATTTAAAAAAACGCTTTAAAATAAGAAAAGATTAAAGTTAAACAAGAAAAAATTCTAACATGACGAGATGTCAATCATCTTTTTTGGACCCGATGTCAGAGGAAGGATGAGATATTTGGATTGTGAGGTGCAATTGTGTATATTAAAACATTGTGTATGCCCTACATCATTCAAGAACACTTGTGACTTGTCTAGTTGTAAAGGATGGATGGATCCGCCTATGAATGGATCCGCCTATGATAAAAACGTGAGGAAATACAAAGGTTACTTAAAATACAAAAATCATCATAAATATCAAAACTTTATATATCTTGGTATTTGGTATTAAATAATGGAAGCACTTTGTCTAAAATAAAGGAATTGAAAGTATGTTGCCATTATATGTAAAAGAAAGCACACGGCCTACAATGGGGATTGGTCTAGAGTACGTTGCTATAATGAGTGCCTAACCCTATTTATTGCACTTTATCAAGTATAATGATTAGTTTATGATTAAACTAAAATTCTAGTGGTTAGAAAAATCCATAAACTCTACCTTTAAATGAAGATGCATGTCAATGAGTGATACAAACCAAAATTTATTGGATTATTGATGCCTACATAATTACATTTTATAGTGTATAACAAATAAAATGGTACAAAAATCGAATTAGATATTACATCGTCAATTTGATCTAGGTATTGTATCATATAAAATTTAACACCACATTGATTCTATATACTTAGATATGGTAGAGTCTAACCAGAAAAGAATCTTTTCCAGGATTGCCATGGCAGAAATCCTCCTGCAAAACCCACAAACAATCACATTATAGCTTCTACAAAGAACTTATTAATTATCTGCAAAAGTTCACTAATCACTTCATATATTTGTCAAGAAACAGCAGTTAATCTTGTTTATTGGTTACCACAATTAGGACAGCGAATATACTCCTTTTCGATCAAAACTAGCCCTGAACCTCCACACTCAAAACATTTCTTCTGAGCCACCTGCCATGTCCAAAATTATAAGTTTATACCTTATGCTTTCAATCCAATAGAAGAACAAGGAAGATGATTGTCTCACAATTCGTTTGCTAAATTCGATCCCTGCAACTACAAACGGTGTAACTCCAGCTGCAATTTCAAAATTAAACAAGGGATATCCCTAATTATTACATACAACTAATATGGAATCAAGTAATTCCAAATAACTGATGCATTTTGTTACAAATTTGGTGGTTATTGGATGAGCAAACGACAAGATACTTACCGATGGTGCCAACGACAATTTGCCAAGTGATCTGTGGCGTAAATGGATCTGAAGTAATGGTGGAAACTTCAACAACTGCAGAGACACGATTCCTTCTACTGCTGAACTGGTGGCGACTTCTGTGATATAAGTTGTTGGACCTTCTGTTGCTTCGTGAAAAGCTCATGGAACCGATAACAGGAGGAAGATTTGGTAAGCTCGATATCGTATCCATGGCTGTTCACAGCCGGATTCGCAAAAGAGAATTTAAGTAAACCCGAATGTTGGACGATGGATCAGAGTAAAGGCTGATCGTAGCCTCCGAGTTTGAGCAGCAAACGAGTCTCAGAAATGACCACGTCGATAACCGCTAATCCGCCGTCCATTGCCGGAGCAACGATAACCACTCATCTTCGAGACTGACGTGACGTCTGGTATTGACCCAATTAAGACCGATTTCTTGGACTGGGCCCACTTCAATTCCATTAATTGGATCAGTCCGTTTTGAAGAAAAAAATATGGATGGACACGGATATCAAAAATGCCACTCCTTCGGAACTGAAGGGGTAATCAGGTAATGCCATGACATGGCAATCCAATTGACAATTAAGCCATGTACATGGCGTTCCACGTAGATAATTCCATTGTTATCAAACATCATTTTAATTAAGAGCATCCACACCTGTGGATGTTTAATGTCTTGCAAAAAAAATGCCAACTCAGCATAATTCATTAGTGGCATTAAAATAGTTATAAAAAAAATCAACACGAGAACAAATCCAAGTGGCATTAAAAACTAGCTTAGTGGCATTGCAAGTTCTTTTTGAAAGACCCGATGTGGGTGGTCTAAGAGCATCTGCATCGCTACATGCAAATGATTTTTGAAATGCTACATATGCTTAAAATCATGCCATGTCACCCAATGTCTTTTACAGGTTAAAAGCGTTGCAAATTATTTTGTGGGCCCAATTCATGATTATAATACTAATGTATATATTAAATATTGCACTAATCCATCGATTTGTTTTAATTTGTATTACGTTTTATATATAAACTAATTTACGAAAAAAAAATTAAGAATTCAAAGCCCAATTGAATGTATATTATTTTTTTTGTTAAAAGTAAGATATTTGTGTTAATATATATATATATATATATATATATATATATATATAAAGTAATTATCGATGTGATAGTGTGGACCATTTGTGAAAGATAAGTGTTATTGCATGTGAGTAGTCATTGTAAAACTGATATGACACAATTAAAAGATTGGTGGCATTGCACTGATGTGGATGGTTTAATATTATGGCAATATAATAAGTCCACATGGCACTCTTCACGTAGATAATTCTATTATAATTAAAAATTATTATTAGTTTTTTTGTTATTCTTTAATTTAAGAACTAGAAAGGTGCTCCCCGCATTGCGGGGGTTGGAAGGTGTCATTTTTGTGTGAAAGTATAGCACATGCTTCAATTGGTAGCTACTCAGTAAAATATGTTGTTATTGTCTACAATTCGCCCATTTACAAATACATAATAGTCAATATATGTTGTAGTATGCGACCAGTTGTATATACAATACAACATCAATAACTTCAAGATTACAATATCCCAATAAACAAACTTTGAAGGTACAATGCTATAACTGAATGTCTTCTTTCCAATATCTTTTCAATGGTGAACACTTATCATGTAATTACTAACATGCCATCTTCCCTCTACCATGGCCAGGTGTCGAATTTCGACCGGAAAGCTACCGTCTCAAAATTTTCAATCACACGGAATCAAAGGGATTTGAATTCCATCTTTCATTTTACCAGTTTTGCAAAAGAGCGACATCTGTCATAAAGTTAAGGACATTACAATATATACTACAAATAATAGAAAAAATTACATACCATGAAAAATTCCATAAATACATATACAAAAGCAAATGAATCTTTTGTTTTTAAGTTGATGAGTTTAACAGATAAAGCACCTAATATAGACAGATATATGTTAAATACATGAAGCTGTTGAAGATACCGAACTGGCACCCTCACAGATTGACGGTTTTTGTCAATGCATTGCCGAAATAACCTTGGGAACCCATAACCTGTGTAGACACATGGCTTTTAACATCAATCGGTCCACCTTTAGCCAACCTAAAATCAGAAAGCTTTGCATTGTAGGTTGGTGGAGGGCCTTCATAAATGCTAGTAATATGTTCCAGAGTCAGGGACAGATTTGACTTTTACAGTCAACATGGCAAAAAAAAAACAGAAAAGCTTGCATTCTTCTCTATAAATAGTGAGGGTAGAAAGGTCAAATTCTCACCGGTGTATGTTGCAGTGCAGTTGTCGGTCTTTTTTAATGAGTTTACATGGAGGTTATTACTTTTGGTTATAAAATTAATTAGTCATTCCATTATCTTAACTGCATATGGTAGTATTATAAAGTTTCTGATATTCAGTTAGTGTTATAACTTATGAATGGTAACTGTCTTTCTAAAAAAATTAGTGTGGCGCTTTTTACAACTTTATGAAACAATTTGGATTTCTTACCAATTTCTGCATGCATAATTTGGTAATAAATTGTAAAATAAGCAGTATATAGTAAAAAAGGCTTCGTAGGTCAGTTGGTGGGCCGATTTGGATGCCATAAACACATTCATCTGCTGAGTATTCTCTTTCCAGCGTAGTCTTTGATGTGTCTGGAATGAAAAGAAGGATCAATGAAGGCATGTTTGACTTGTCTTCTCCTGCTAATGATGACAATACTTCACAAATGGCACACGCCAATACAGGATATTCATACTTTTGCAATACCAAAATGGACACCTGGTGAAAGAATGGAAACCATAGAACATTTTTATCCACAAGCAATGGTAATTGGTTCGAAAATTATAACTATAATAAGTTCAAAATTCATCTCAATATTGTATTTTGCAACAGTAATCACACAATTTAAGTTAACTGAAGAAATGATTTGATGCGAATAAGCATAGTAAGCATATGCAATTCTCAGAAGTTAATAAGCTATGTTAAGTTGCATGGATTTCTTAAACCTATTACGAAGAATTTAATAAACGTAGCAATCAAAGAGTGATACCTACTTGAGGAACTCCATTGCTATCAATGAAGTGAGTGATGTTTTCAAAAGCTAAAAAATATAAATAAAAAAAATAATAAGTTAAACCAAACCATATGAAGATTAAACAGAAAAAAGAAAAAATTGTACCTCAATGGATTTGTTGGAAGCAACATGAATGACATTGACCAAATTGCCCCTAAAGAGGCTAGTCCAGCCTTCAGTCTGCATAATATCTTGATAATTTTCACAATTCCCTACCATCAAATGAGTTCTTATAGTCTCTAATGGACCAACAACATATGATGTCGAAAGAACCCGTGCTACTGCTCCACTAATTAACTTCATCAATGAAGGATTTCTAATTTTTATCTTTAATTTCAATCCATCTTTCTTCTTCAAAACACCTTAAAAAACGAATAAAGTTAGTTGCAAGGACCTGCCCAATCAATTTCAACATTAATAAAAGCACAAAATTTGAGTTAAAAAATAATCAATGAACTCAAACCTGAAATTGTTGAGGGGCAAAACAGAAGTTGAGAAATTGAAAAGGTATCCATATATTAATATTATACTAACAAATGTCACGATAAATGTTATAAAATATATTAAAATATAAAAAAGCATACATGTTTAACTTTTGGCAAAAATTGGGATGGCCTCCCCTCTAATGTCACCAATGTTGATAAAAAAATCCAATAAAAGCCAGAGCAAATATATACTAAAAATATGTATATATTAATCGAGCTCTTGTATTTGCAAATGAATTAAAAAAAAAGATCCAAAAATGATATTATAAAAAAGTTACCTGATTGATTATGAGGCGTAGAAAAGCACCTGAAGCTCCACTCACTGTTACCAATATACTCAAGTATAAGTACCTACACAAAAATCTATACTTTTAAAAAAGAAGCACATGCACACCTACATATCCCTTGAAAACAGGATTTATTCTGCATATGCTTGCCCCATATTCTTCATATGCTTGCCCCATAATACGGCAAAAAATTTCTGTGTTGATGCAAGTACAGAGCCTCTAAACCATACTGCTTGTTTCTGGATAGGATGGCTCACTACATTAACTTCAACTGGTTGTGGCTGGAACCAAATTAATAGCAGTTTTTTTTTTTGTCAAAAAAAAAATGAAATAACGTATATAATTTATTGAAAATTATCGGTTAAATTAATCATACTTACTTTCACTTCATTACTAAATTTTGCTTCTGATGCATGAACACGTTCACCCACAATCTTTTTTACCTCCCTTTGTAACCTTGGATGGAAATCTTTAAACGTTGATACAATATTCTGAAATAAATCAAAATTTATCCAATAAGCATCGTTTACCAAAATAGACATGGGTCACAAGAACTTTTACGGTTTTGTCCTTTTACAATTATAAAATGGGTAACTTGTACCTTATAGAGGGCGCGTCTTGTGGGTGTTGATATCGAACTCAACAAATTTCCTATTTTCCCCTTTCCTTTTGTCAGATGAACTTCTGCAACAAACAATCAAAAACATATGAGTGCTGATATCAAAAAAATGAAACCGAAAATTTCATCAAGACCTCCATTGTCGGCATCTTCAACCTCTCACCAGGGGCGACGCAGATGGCACGAAGTCCGACAGAGAGGACGGAGGAGGTGAATTTGGGGAAATATTTGATTTGGTTCCTGTAAATAGACGAAGAACAAATATGGAAAAAGATTTATTTACTTGAAAAACAAGACCATTACTCTTTCGAACGTTACACAACTCACGGCCATGGTTAACACGAACATCCGGCAGTTGCAACAGCCACAGTTCACATCTTCCCATCTCCTCACTTTCAGATAACTTTTTCGACCAGAATCAGGCAGCTTTTCGCTTTCAACTTCAGCACCCTTATCCTCATCCTCTTGTTTAGCCTCACTAAACCTCCATCGGAGCAACGAAGGGTGTATAACCCCTTCTCTCTGATGCCGGAAGCGGTAGAATATACGGTGATGTATAACACAAAAAAACCAATGACTGTTTAATCTTTTAGTGCACAATAATCGGGTTCTTACCGGCTTTGAGAGGCGGTGGCAGAGTAAACAGGGGCGGAGCTTCATCATATTATTTAGGGGCCGAAAATATAATGTATAAAAATCGGAGAAACAGGGGCCACCGTCAAAAATTTATATTTTTTGGTCTAATATGTATTAAATGAAAGTACAGGAGACTATTTGTAACAAAAAAATCAGGGAGGCCACAGCCCCCTGGCCCTAATAAAGCTCCGCCCATGGCAGGAAAGGACCGATGTGAAAGATACAAAGCCCCACTCAGCCACCGACCAGGAGGGAATAAGAGAAAGCTTCTAGTGACAGATCAGATGTAGACGAATGAGAGGAAAATAGTAGGAGGCGAATCGGAGAAAAAAAGGGAGTGATGACGATCGAGAGGAAAAAGGCAGCGATAGAAGGAACCGGAAACGATTTGGAAGAAGGGGACACCAATCCTAATCTGATTGGGTTACAAAATCGGTGAGCAACAGCTGAAGTCCACGTTAGTGATAAAGAGATCAGCTTAATATTATAATAACAAATTAGAGGGAGCATAATCTAATTTGAAAAAAAGGACCAATTCTACCAAAATGATGGAAATATTGGGGCAATTATGTCAAAACCTTAGGAATTTTACTGTGACATTTTTAATATATATATATATATATATATATATATTAATTTATAATTTATGTGAAAATCATTCCAACCGGTTCTTACACTTTTAAGAACATTAACCACTATAATTCTTCACCATCATAGAACTCCACTGTGCACCATTAATTTTTACAAACCAAGATCAAAAGCAAAAATTCAAACAGATTAATTTTGCAAGCAAAAACTGAAAATATATATCAAAGAAATGTAAAAACCTTGATCGATTTTACAAACCTATATTAAAATAGATCGATTAGACAAAAAAAATTAAATGAAATCAATCAAAGGAAAAGCGGTATCAAAGGCTCGCTTCTTCTTAGAGTTTGTTAGGGTTTAGTGAGCTCAATCATTTCCTTATGAAGACTCCTTTAAAGTTGAGACACTAGCTTCCGATCATCTTAAGGTTCATCGACTTCAGGCTTCGTAATCATCCAATGCAAACACAACCTTCCGACATCAGGCTTCGAAGTTGACCATTAGGCAGTTTAGGTTCATCGACTTCCAACTTCACATCCCGTCACACCATGATCGGTGACCGTTGGGCACTTCCCCCGTCCAAAGCTCCAACAATAACACTTTGAAGAAGTATACATCAGATTTCTCAATGGTTAACCATAGTTACCCCCTTTTCACTCACGTACTCACTGCCATCACTCGTCCACTCACCTCAGTATTACACTCAGCCTACCACAACTGATCTCTACCTCTCATATCTTCACCACCGGCTACTACAGCACCACCCTCTGACTAACGTTGTACCTTTGTCGACATTTTCCTTCTTCACCACCAACTCCGGGTTTTCAGATTTTGTAGTGGTTTCCTCGTCAAAAGAGTAAATTATCGAAATGGTCCTTGTGGTTTGGTCGAATTCACAATTTTGGTCCCTAAGTTTAAAATTTGATAGGTTACATCTCTATGGTTTATGAATATTGCATCGGAGGTCCATGCTCCATATAAAAAGACCAAATTACCCATTCTTTCTTTTTTCTTTTTCTTTAAACTATATATATATATATATATATATATATATATATATATTAGATTTTATTTGATCTTTATTTTAATAAAATTAATATAGATTATTTATAAAATTATTTTACTTTTCAAAATCAATTATCTAAGTTATATAAAATCACATTATTACTTATTTTTAGATTTATTTATTTATCTTTCTTTTGGCAATTTAAAAATCTTTTAATATTTTTGACATTTTATTTGAATAAAATATTTGATGTTGTTTTTTTAACGTTTTGATTGCTTACATTATATAAAGATTTGTTTTTAAGTTTTGTTCCAATAGACAAATTAAAATAATAACTCAAATATTTTTGACGTTTAATTTGAATATGTTATTTGATGTTGTTTTTTTTAATGTTTTGTTTGTTTACATTATAGAATGATGTTTTTTACATTTTGTTTGAATAAACTAATTAAAATAATAAATCGAATAACTATAAATCGTTAAATATAATTATTTAAAGTTGTTTTTATGTGTTTTTTTGTTTATATCAATCACTTATATGTTAATTTTTGTTCTTTTATTGAGTTTTAAGAGGTTTTATGTGTTTTTTGTTCATATCATTCATTATCATTGATTTATATGACGGTGCTTCTTCATTTATTACCTAAATAGTTAAGAAAAATTTCCGTATAACTATTTAAGAAAAAAAAAACAAAGTAAAACTATTAATTCTAATACATATTCATGTGTGTGCGCGCACCGTTAAATGAAAAAGTAAAAAACGATCATTAAGTAATTTTATTGAAAGATTGATAGTTATCCGGTTTATTGTTTTAATTTGTTTATACGAAAAAAAGTGGAAAAATAAACAACATTAAATAATATATTAATAAAACGTCAAAAGTATTAAAAGATTTTTAAACCACAAAGATAAAATAAATAAAGTAAAAAATATATAATAATAATACGTTTTTATATAATTTAGATAATTGAGTTAAAAAATAAGAATAATTTAATAAAATCCTATATTAATTATTAAAATAAAGATAAAAAATAACTTTTATATATATATACTATTATATAAAGCATTTTAGACATTTCTTGAAATTTAAAAGGTACCAAACCTACTACATCATGTACAATCAACTTATGCTTACCATTCAATACACATATTACATTTGTATATTTAGTAGGTTGAAAATCTTAATTGGTATCAAATCTATAACCATTATATCATGGTGTTTGTATATTTAGTAGGTTGAAAATCTTAAATACGGGTGAGATACGTTCTGGTGGTTTTCTTCACATCATAGGATTTTCCGGAGAGGTAATGATAAAAAAAATTGAAAAATATATTGTTAAAAAATAAAAGTAAAATGCTATAATAAACAAATAAAATAGATAAACATTTGCGTTAAATTTATAAATTAAAATGGTTTCAGGACTACAAAAAACAACTTAAAATAGATTGAAAAAAAAACAGATTGAATTTACAACCCAGCAAACCGGTCAAAGTTGTGAAACAAGTTAAGATGTTACGGTTATTAGAAGTTAATATTATGAATGAGTGATTAATTGCAATTTACAAAGAAGTGACACATAAATGGATTTTTCAATGTTTGAGGATTGTAAAAACGAAAAAATTATCAATATTGTAACTTGGTTATACTTAAAGGTTTTTATGGTTTGATCCGATAGCCGCAATGAAACTATTCACCGAAATAAATTAATCACCGTCCGGACATTATTTGTCGCCGCCGCTTTGCGCGGGCACACGTCTAGTATATATATAAACATATTGTCTGTTTCTTGAAAATTAAGAATGACAATACATATTACCTCATGTAAAATAATATTAAGCTTACAATCTACATGGTATACGTATTACACGGTATACCTTATCTCTTGATGTTACCTTAATCTCCTCTACACACAACAACGCCATCAAACCAAATCTCATCCGTCTTTGTTTATCTCTTCACCCTCACGACGTCAGGTGTTCTTCCCTGACTCTGGCAACATCAGCAGCGCACCACTACCTGTCTCCACCAAAGATGCAATTGACGCCCTAGAAGTCCACCTTTTCCATAACCGTTGTCCGCCACTTCTACCTAGGGATGAGCAAAGGAACCGACCGTGCTGGAACCGGCCCGAACCGGACCCGGCCCGGGAACCGAAGTCGGCCGAAATTAAGAACCGAACCGAACCACCGGTTCCTGGTCCTGTCGGTTCTTGTCGGGTCTTCAATGTTGGTACCGATCATCAAGAAATAGCAATATACGGTTCCGGTTTTTGTCGGTTCTACCGGTTTTTGCTGGTTCTACCAGTTTTTTCCGGTTCCCGGTTCTAAAAATCCACAAGAATATCGTCCCGGTTCCGGCCCGACCGGTTCCATCGGGTTCCGGTTCCAGTATCGGTTCTGGCTGGTTTCCCGGTCCAGACGAGTAGCCCTAACCCTATCCCGCCGCCACGATCAACCACCCTGCCACTTCTACCTTCTATCAAGACGAGTAGCCCTAACCCTATCCCGTCGTCAGGTCATTTTCATCGAACAAAAGAAAATCCTAGATTGAAAATTTGGGAGAAGAAGGGGGGAATTACTTCTTGTAACGAGCGACCTCGTCATCGTTGGGGAAGAAGCCCATCAGACGTCCAACGGAGTTCTGGTACGCGTACATGAACCCACCCATAACTCCGATTAAACCCCGGGTCACCATCGACGGGCCCCTGATCCCTGGCTTGATTCCTGCAAAAATGAAATAAAATTCTACGTAATTCAAGAATTAAACAAAGAGTAAACGAATATAATTGAGTATGAAGAGGGTGTGAGACCAGAAAGGTATCCAACGGTGACAGAGATGTCGGAGATGGTGGTGTGTCGAAGGTAGTGAAGGGTGTTGAAGTTGGTGACGGTCTTGGTGAAGGGGGGATTCCGATCTATGACTGGGTACTCCGGCTTAGCCGATCCAGTAATGTTTGTATTCATCTCTCTCTTTCTTCATTCTTGGTAGTTGCTACGTTGGCAATGTCTAATTGCTACGCCCTCCCTCTTTCACTCTCTGTGTTGCTTTTTCGCAGACAACCTTTGCTGCTTTACATGGGCTAATTGGGCCATCATATATATAATGAATTGAGAAAGGTGAATCGTGAGATCTGAGCTCTAAGAGTAACAGGTCCATTAGAAATACCAAATGGGCCTTTATTGTCAAGATTTTTGTGCAGAGATCAATGGTGATGCAGTTACTGGTTGCAAGGCCAATACATCTTGTCTATACAGAGACATATGGTGATGGTAGCTACAGTATTGGTTACTTTGTAATGGATGTTGTCCAGTATGACAGTGTGTCAGGTGATTTGGAAACTAAGCTAGCAAATGGAAGTGCATATTTGGGTATGTTTTCATTGCTATTAATAATACTTTTTGAGTTCATTATCAAATATTTTATTCCTCTCTCTCTCTCTCTCTCTCTCTCTCTCTCTCTCTCTCATAATGCATCCCTCATCTTTGTGTCCTTTGCCCCTTTTGATTTTGTTAACAGACATCTTAACTATACATTAATTCAAAGTATGACCTATTTGATGGCATTGATAGTTCCTCTTTTTGTCAGACATATGGATCACCCATTGATCTTTTGTTAGCTTTCATTAACATGTTTGCTGACTGTGGTGTAGTTTTTTCTTCATCTTCTCGGGGGCAGTTTTGGAAGGACCAAATAATGCCTTTTTTGATTTGCTTTAGTTGCTTTCCAATATAGTCCATGTTGTTTGACTATCAAAGAAAAGGCCATTGTATCAAATCTGGAAAGCAGAATACTAATCCTTAGAATTCTTTTTGAATCAGCAAAAAATCTGAGGATGCACTTGATGGGATTCTTGGTTTTGGAAAATCAAATTCATCAATCATTTCACAGTTGGCTTCATCTGGAAAAGTGAAAAAGATGTTTGCACATTGTCTAGATGGTGACAATGGTGGTGGTATTTTTGCAATTGGTCATGTTGTTCAGCCCAAATTCAACTCAACACCTTTGATCTCAGATCAGTATGTTCTTTTGTTTTTTCTTTCAGTTAACTACATTTTTTGTCCCTATGTTTCGTAATTTTCTTCGGTTTTGATCCAAAAATATTTTTTTCCCACTTTGGTCCCTATTTCCAGGCTTCATTGAAGTGAGTTTAAGTCTGTTAATCCCATTCATATACCTTGCACATGAGGGATTTTAGACCAAGTAATGCTACTGAAAATGGTCATGAAGCAAAGTCAAATATTCATGAGGTTCCTGTGTCACGGGTAAAACTTTATATCAACCATTTTTTTATCTATGTTATTTGTAATTAAAATTTCGTTTATACAAACAGCTAGATGAATGTAAACCGGAAAGTGAAGGAGAAGGGAATGGAATTAAGGATTCCGTGTATTTATTACCACCATCTGAGCATTTTTTACGGACCGTTAAGCCCTTGGCGAAATGTGTAGCTTCTTCTTCATGTTATGGTGAAAAAAAGATTCCCATGTTTTTTACGGGAATGATGTGTTTTATACACTTTTTAGACTTCACCAAGTAAGAATTCCTTATTATTATTATTATTATCTATTTTGCTTGATGGAATGGAATGGACGATTCCCTGAGGACTCCGATTCCTTCCATTTTGTTAAGCTTTGTTGCATAGGGAAAGGGTGCTTTTTTTTTCAATACTTCAATGTTTCCATTTTTATTTATGAAACTTTTCTTTATACAATTAAAAAAATCATGATTTTAATAAGGCTTAATAAAAAAATAACCACATTTTCAACTAATGATTTTAATAAAGCTTTGTTGCTTACACATTTTCCAAAAAAAAATTCTAGTACAATTTTTTTATCTTTGAAAATGATATCAATTTTGCGAAATAAAAAATTCACAATTTTTAATTATTTTTTAGTGAAGGACTACTAATAAAGCAGTTTTTAATTATTTTGGTATGATTTAAAATATTTTTGGTATGACTTATGACAGTTATTAAATTGATTTTTAAATTATTTTAGTATATTTGTTAATGTGTAGTATTTATGGTATGATATCAATTTGTTAATGTTAGTATTTTTAGTATTATATTATCTTAATTAAAATATTATAATAATGTGATTAATTTTGGTATGATTTAAAATATTTTTGGTATGACTTATGACAGTTATTAAACTGATTTTTAAATTATTTTAGTATATTTTTTTAATCTTAGTATTTATGGTATGATATCAATTTGCTTAATTTTGGAATGATTATCAGTTTCCGAAATTATATCATTGAATACTTTATTCAACCTATAAATCGAATATACGTTTTTATTTTTTACTCTTACATCACACAATTCACAAACAAGGAATCAGGAACGAGAAGACTACTTCATTGCATTGCATTGCATTTCTTGACACGAATTCGGGTTCTTTTACTTCTTCTATCTGTTATAACTTGAAGAGTGTATGATATTTTATTTTTTACATCTTCTATTTGAAGTGATAGACTTCTTTTGTTTTAAATGATAATCTTCTTCTCTCTTCTGTTTGAAGTGATAAACTTATTCTATTTGAAATGATAAAATTCTCCTGTCTCAAATAATACATGTATATAATATGTATATATATGTGTATGTATTTGTTTGTGACATCCTATATATGTATGGTTTGGATATGTATATGTTGGGACATTGTGTGCTTGTGTATTTGAGTGAATATTGTTTCGAAAATATATCATGTTCTAATTTATGAGTGAATATTGTTTCTAAAATATATCATGGTCTAATTTCGTGGATTGAAACTGTCTCCTTCCATATGTACATGAATACAAATATGTTTCTATGTTTTTTTATCTAATTAAAGGCGATTAAATCTATTATAAAGCCTCAAAATATTCTCATGGCTTGTAATTCTAATGAATCGACAAATTCATACGCCTCCATCAAAATATAATATAATATTAATGTTATGCATTTAAAGTGAGAAAAACGTATAGTACTTATTGTTCTCATTGATTAAAATGTATGTTTAAAGAACTATTTATATCTTATTTTCATTTTCACAATGTATTATAAGTATTTTGTTTATGAAAGTATTACATTTTCAATTAGAGAGAGAAATTGGTAGCAGTTGTTCTACAACTAATGATGTGTTTTATTTATGGAGGGAATCTATTGGCTGGTGTGTTCTCTTTAAACTATTTCCAAATCGAACCAACTTACGTTGTGTATCCGAGGTATCAAGGATACAATTTATTACGTGGTGATTTGATGATTAGGATCAGCAATAACACACGGTTTAATCGTTGGGCCGATGCTATCATATCATGGTTTCCGGTTTTTCCATTGGTTCCCTCGATTAAAAGTTTAATAGAGGATCGGACAGAGAGAAAAATGATGATCGGTAAATTTAATAACTTATATATATTTTTAGCGTTCTAAAGTTTTTAAAATAATAACAAGTTATCCTTTTAATTATCGCTATTTTTAGATATTGTTGGAAAAATCATCAAAGGCAAGCGAAACTATTCATGTTACTTTGATTTACTGGCGTTAACTACGTTCACTTTATATCTCCAAGATGAGTTGTAAGTGTTTATTATTATTATTATTATTATTATTATTATTGTATATTACACTAAAACAAAATTAGATGACTTTGGAAATATTTGATTATAAACAGGGGAGTATAATAGAGATGAAACTATATATAATCGACCGAACACGCCATTAGATTGTAACGACTTGTTATGCGATAAAGAGAGTATATAATATTTGTTTCTCGGGGGAAATTGGTTCATTTGGATTCAAGTAAGTTTTTTCAAGAAAATTATAATACTTGTAGTGATATTAAAATAACTAAATCAATGCGTTTTAATAGTTTTTATCTTGTTTTCAGTGAACATTTTGATATCAACCAAATTAACCAACGTAGAGTTCCAACCGAGGATGCCGGAAGCATCTAACATCATAAATATGCCTAGAAGAATTTTTAATTCCGTGTGAGACATTTGGTGGTGTTTTTTTTGAAGTTTTGACAACTTTTACAAGTGCGTTGCTTTTAGAGTTGATCTATATTAATGTTAGACATATTGTGATGAATTTTTTCATGTGTGGTTTATTTTTCTTGTGTTGCCTTATGACTTGATATATAATAATTTTTGGATATCTATGGAAATTTTCTTTTAACTATATATTAGTTTCTTCTATTGTGTTTTTGGATTACAAGTTTTTTAGTATAGTTAGTTATTTATTAAGGGTTGTGTTGCTTTCTGAAAAACTAAAAAAATTAATGTTAAAATAAAATTTGATGATTTTTCCAACAACAACAAATTAGTTTCATGTGATAATCTTTTGTTGAATTAATGAGCATGTATACAATTGTTAATGTTTAGATCAGATATATGAAAAGTTTGTACTTTTAAAATTGTTAACGTTCATTCCAACACATCACACAAGGCTTTAAGCTTTTGGTATCGTACAATTGTTTCTTGTATTTTTTAGAGTATATTATTTATTGCACATTTATTCGTTTGAATAAAGTATGTAAAATTTAAATTGAAAATATTTGTGTAAATAAACTTTGAAAGAAACACTATGCTAATGATATGAAGGTATAAATGTAAGTTTTAAGTTGAGAATATGGTTATGAATGTATAATTTTTGTGCATTAAAGTGTAAATTTATTATATTAAGCTGTGAATTTTGTGTACTGGACTATAAAACTGACTATATTAAGATGTGAATTTGTAATGAATTTTATGTTAAAATATGAATGATTTATGTCTGAATTTTTGTATTAATTTTTTTGTGAATATATATATTTTTTGTATTGTATAAATATGTAAGAATGTATTAATTTTTATAATAATTTTGCATTAAACTATGAATAAGTGAACTAATTAGTTTATTTAAATTGTGAATGTAGTATTTAAGTTGTTAATCAATGATTTTTTATTTATATATCTGATTTGGAAGGAATGACGATTACGACGGTGGCACAGGTGGTTGGTGGTGGCATGTGATAGTAGTTAGTGATGTTCATGGTGAAGTTTGAGTTTGACTTCCTTGAATATATAAATTAGTATATAATGAAATTTATTATGTTATATTGTGAATTTTATGTAATAAACTAAAAATGGGTTGCATTAATTTGTATATTTTATATAAATTTTAGTGTTAAAATATGAATGAATGTATGCATGAAAACATTAAACTGTGTATTAGAGAATTAATATATTTATTAAACTGTGAATACGATATTTTAAACCGTGAATATGTATTATACAAGATATATTTTTTAAAGAATCTACAATTTAGAAAAAAAATGAATTTGTCAATGCATAAATCTATTTTTATAATAAAATTTTGTATATAAGCTGCAAAAATAAAATGATATGTATTAAAAAGTATTATCAAAGAATGAGAACTACAATGTTTGTTTTATTAAGCTGTGGATACGACCAGAAAATGCTATTGGATTTGGTGTTAGTCTAATGTTGGTCCGACGGTGGTACCGCGACAGTCCAACGACGATCCAACGGTGGTCCGACGGCTGTCCAACAACAAGTTGTAAACTAGGTAATTGAAAATTTTGCTTAATATTATATTAATTTTTGATTTGATCAAAATGTCCTTAATGAAAACATTTTAAAAAATAGTTCTTAGGGTTCTTAACCTTTTTTGGTTCTTATTTGAACCAATATATATATATATATATATATATATATATATAATATATATATATATATATATATATATATATATATATATAAAGGAAGGATCATTTGAGAACTCATAGTTTCCCGAGAACCTGAGAACTAAAAGTGGAGCGTTGGATTGAAAAAAAGGATGGCAAAGATGCATTATGGCATTTTTGTAAATAAGTTGAAAACTAAAGATGCAAGGGTGCCTTAATCAAATTTGACAGGGGTATTTCAGAATCACAATCATATTATAATTTCTTTAATTTATGATCTGATAAATTAGATTTTTAAAAACTCACATCTCTTTATTATCTCTCATTCACTCTCAGTCGTCGATAGCAATTCAGAAATCCATGCTCTCTCTCACCTTCCTCCATAACTGATGTTCCTAGATCCAAGTAGTGGCGCCACCTACCGAGAAAATTTTCAACGGCGGAGAAGAAAGCAACTGTCGTCTTCTTCACTGTATTTGTTGTCTCGATTCTCTCTTTTTCCTCTAGTAGCATCCCAATCGGAGAAGAAATCAACGTCTGCTTCACTGCCTTCCGATCTCTCGTGTCCGTCTCCAACCTATTTGGAATGCACAACGTCCACTCCTCCAATATTTCTTCAAGATATGGACTTAATCATCCTCTCACACATCTCTCTCCACTTCCCTTCACATTGCCACTGTAGAAAAGCCCTAGAACGTCGACTCTTTGATTTTTGCATCGATCGTCATCCATTGAAGAACTCGTCGGTAACAACGTTTTTTTGTTGAGAACGACTATCGAATGGATAGACGAGTGGAAAATGTGGAAGATGGACGACAGATCGAGGAAGAGTCAGAGCGTGGTGCATCCGACAATCGAACCTCTGATTTATCTTCTAGGAACTTGGAGAGGTGAAGGAGATGGCGGTTTCCCCACCATATCCTCCTTCACGTACGGCGAAGAGCTCAACTCTACTCATCCCAATAACAAGGTGACTCTAAATCTATCTAGGCTTAATATTCAATCAAATGGAAAGTGCTTGTTATTGTTTACTGAAATCAGAAATTCATCATCTCAAATTGACAATCATCGACTGGTGACTCTACTCGGCGGAACGACCACGACCACAACTTCCTAGTCTCGAGAACTTCGACAATACTTTAGCAAACTCGAATTTGATGGAGTAAACTCGAGTCTATATAGTCTGTTATCAAATTGTAAGAACTCAAGTCATTGCCTTATTACTTGAATTGAAACATTACTTGGCTTATTTTATCATCAGGTGCAGAAGGTAGCTGTTGATATTGTTCGTGATTTAACTGGATCAGAAGATGGACTACAATCCCTCGCCAGTTATTCCAAAACCGTGCTTCCATCCTTATGTCGACTATTAGGTGAAAAAAGGTGTTATATTTATATTGTTTACGTTTTAGAGATGAACATTTTTTTTCTCAATACTTTAGCTTTATCATATTCTTCATGTTCATCTTTATCAATACATGTAGTGGTTTGACTTTTTTCTATTTAATAATGGATTTCAGGTGTCATTACCTTCTTTCTCTCGGGGATTACCAACATAATATGTTCTTGGTTCATCCGAATCTTCTTCAAACTTATTAGGTAATGTATAAAATCTTGTTTTTCTTTAACTGTAGATATGAAACCTATTATTTAAGAAATAACATTACAATAATGGTAGATGAACAAGTTTATATGACTTAAAAATATAAAGATTGGTAGGACAAAAGCAGAATAACAGGTTTCTAACATCGTTTTTTTAATTTCTAGCTATGGTAACCAAATTGTTTCTGATGAGCTAAGTTCCCTTTACGGAGGTTCTCGTGCTAATGGATAAGGTCTAGAGGTATGAAAGGAAAACTAAATAAAGGGAAAATTTGTAAAAGGTTAGGATTTAAATAAAGTTAATATTTTTCAGGTAAAAAGGAGGATTTTGATGGGGACATATGCCCTTTCAGCAGGTTATTATGATGCCTATTACAAGCGAGCTCAGCAGGTACCTTTACTTGGTGTTGTGTTTGTTACACAAGCTTTCTAGGGTTATTTTTTTTATGATGAGAACGACAAGGGCAATTATGTTTTTTTCACATACAAGAAATCAAGTGTGACTCACTATTCCACCTTGTTTAACCAAAAAACAAATGCAAGTTTTATCCCATTGAGTTAACAGTAAACAATAAATTATGGTGATTTAGGTGAGAACTATAGTCCAGAAAAGCTTCACATTCAAATTACATGTGATTCACAAGTGAATCACATATGAATTACATGTGAATCACATGTAATTCACATGTAAATCACAAGCGAATCACATATGAAATACATGTGATTCACATGTAAATCACATATGAATCACATGTAAATCACAAGTGAATTGCATATGAATTACATGTGATTCACATGTAAATCACAAGGGAATCACATGTAAGTCACAAGTGAATCACATATGAATTACATGTGATTCACATGTAAATCACATATGAATCACATGTAAATCACAAGGGAATCACATATGAATTACATGTGATTCACATGTAAATCACATATGAATTACATGTGATTCACATGTAAATCATAAGTGAATCGTATATGAATTACATGTAAATCACAAGTGAATCGCATATGAATTACATGTGATTCACTTGTAAATCACATATGAATTACATGTGATTCACATGTAAATCATAAGTGAATCGTATATGAATTACATGTGATTCACATGTAAATCACAAGTGAATCGCATATGAATTACATGTGATTCACATGTAAATCACATGTGATTCATATGTGAATCGCATGTGATTCATATGTTAATTATATGAAAATCACATATGTATTTTTGTGAGTGTTTTTGCATTAATCAATTTTTTTTTAAAATTTTTTATGTAGATTTGGAAGGAATTGTGGTGAATATTGAAGAAATGAAAAAATGATAAACTCAAGAAAATAAGGAAATATTGACACGAAGACATGAAAATGCTTTGAAATTTGTACCATTTTTTTTATATTTTATTTTGTATCGAATAAAATACCTGTGCTATTATGTTTATAAATTAATTAATAAAAATGAGATTTTTTATGATTTATCTTTTTCTATTTCTTTCTTCTTCCGCTCAAGTTTTCCTTTTCATAAAAGCGCCCCGGTTCTCTTTTTCCTTTCCATCTTATCTGTTTGGTTTCTCTTTGGAAGCGATTGAGCACCGCCATGACCACCATCTGCTTCAGTTCGGGTAATCTACTGCCATTTTTCCTCCCTGGTTTTCTATATGGATTGGTGCTAAGCTGATGCGATGTGTGTCTATTTCTCCACCATTTTCTTAATCACTGCATGTTCTCCAGGTGTGGACTCCATCGGAAGAAAAAAGTAGAAGAATAATTGAGGTTGCGGAGAACTTCAGTTGCTCAACACCGCATCGATTTTCTTTCTTCTTCGCATTCAATCCACGATTTCAGATTTCCCATGTTTGTTAGATCTTCGATTTTAGGTTTACCGTCTTTCCTCCAACGCCTATGCTTTGCCTCAAATCTGTTTTCGTCTGATTTTTTTTCTTTTCTTCTAAAAAGGGGATTCAGTTTCTGGTGATGCGTCTCTCCACCGCTGTTCTGATTACCTTCTCTCTAAAATCGTCAATCATGACCATTGTCTCTGTTTACGCTCAAACATACGCCTCCACAGGGGATTGATAGCGCTCATCAGCGACCAGCACTTCCCACGTGACCCTTCCGTTCGCTACTCTGGGACGAAGGTAAGTCTTGCTTCGTTTTATCTATATTTCCCATTTCTTTTCTACACCGGTTCTGATTCTGAAATCAATTTCTATGTTGGCTTGAAGCGAAATGTAATCGATATGCAAAAATCAATTGAAAAGCTTTTGGTTTGAACTTATTTTTGAGTTTTAGATGGAGGAAGTGTGAACTGCAAACAAACATGAAACGGTGGTGTTGAAAAAGAAGTGTAACTGACCATACATGAAGGTGTTCTGTTAAAATTTTAGTATCTTGGTTTGCTGTTTCACTTTGGTTTCTTAATTTCACAACGTTTGGCTTCATTTTCAACAGGTCAATTCAATTTATCGAAGAAAATTGATTCTTCTCTGCTATGAAGTTTCATGATCTCAACTAATTAAAACATCACTCATTTCCTAATTTCAATAACTTTATTATGTAAATTAATGCACTTCCATTTTCAATTTGTGATTGTTGATATATGCATTATTCATATTGGAATGAAAAGAGTAAAAGTTTATAGCAGCAAAGCATAAATGGAATTAATTGTTCAAGTTCAGATGCATTTTAATTCATTTTTGGGTTTATCTTTTGCCTAATATCTTTCTTTTGGGTTTATTTTTAGGGATCAATCGGTGAAAGGAGGCAAATGAAGCTGATATGTGTTACCAACAGAAAAAAATTTACCTTTACCGTTTTCCCTTTGATTAGGCTGAGGGTAATTTTGTCAGTTTGGATGCTTTACATTTTACATTTATACCGACATATATAAATGGTGTTCTTGTAATGTTGTTGAAAAAAATTAAAGAAATACAAATTGTTTGCTCCAGGGAAATTTCATCTTATTTTGGTGTCAATGGAGTACTACAATCAGAGGGAGGTTAAATTGTTTGAAGTTCGAAAGGTATTTCATTCTTTTCTGGAAAATTATAGACGATTAGAAGGGCTTTTCAGTCATTTGTTGTATAAACATTTTTTTATCCCTTATCGGTTTTGCGTTTCTTTTGATGAGATTTGTTGTAATAACGAAATTAATAGAAAAATTAAAGGGCTATTTATTTTATGAAGATATAACTATCGACTTCTATCTCTTTTTTAGGGAGCAATGCAGCATCATTGCCCTCTATGGGTTGAGGTATCCATTTTTTCACCTTTTATTCTTGGATAAATCATAAATATTTTACTCATGTAACCACCCAAGTCGTTGACTTTTTATTAATACAGAAACATTTTTTTTTCTTTTCTTTTTACTTTGGAATCAGATAGGACCAATTTCCGGTGATTGATATTCGCTAGCATCGGCGTTGTGTTGGGCGTGTGCGACAGAGATGGTCTGGCCGACGGTGACCAAAAGCCTTTCAAAAACATGAAGAAACCACCATTGCCATTTGTAGTTGATGAAATCATTCAGACCAGAAGGTAAGCATAATTTTATTTTCCATTCAAAATTTTTATCATCCAATTTTACTCATGAATCCTTGAATTTTGTACGAGGGATCATCCATTTGCCTGAATCTTTACCCTCAGAAACGTACGTACAGAAAAAAAAAAAAAAAAGACAAATAAATGTATTTTGTCTAGAAGCTAAAGAGAACTCATTGATGATGGGGGGTTTAATTTTGTCTGTTCGTATTATGATTCTTGGTAAAATTGAGAGAAACACTCCACCCATTAACCAAAAAAAAAAAAAAAAAAAAAAACGGTGATGCTGACTTCGTCTCTTAATTTTTTTTAATCAAATTTTAAGTGAAATAAGCACTTCTAAAATTGAAATTGAATCCACTAATTTTTACCCTGATTGAAAATTCAAGCATTTACTTAAAAGTTGTCACAAGGAGAATAAATTGGAGATGCTTATGGCGATTGTAATCTGTTTTTGTGAATAAACAATTGTGATATCTTTTGTTTCTGTAGGAGAAAAGGAAGAAAGATTTTTAACATGAATTGCAAATTGTTACAAATGATGAAGTAGGTGATTACATGTTTCCTCACCATTATAGTGTAAGTGCACCAAACAAGATTTGTTCTGTATTTGATGAAATGCTTTGTAGAGTAACAAATTTGTAGCTGATTGGTATTAATTACATTGAAGTTAAATTTGTTCTGAAATTGGTTGATGTGCTTCCATAGCAGGTAAGTAGAACTCTGCGGGAAAAAGACTTGGAAAAGGCTTAAAGACCGTCTATATTGGCTGCTATGGACTGCGTTAAGATTTTTTCTTTCTTTTTTTTTGTTTTATAGTTTTAATTCGCAACATCAACTGTGAAAAAACCCAAACCCAAAGGTCAATCCAGACATAAAATTCTATTTGTTGACCATTCTTGTGGTCAATCACAACAAAATGGTCCATTTGGTGATAGTAAGGGTAAAATGGTCATTTAGTCTCATACAAATGGTTTATTTACTGTAGAAAAGAAACACAACTTCTGTATACAACATTACATCATTTACACATTCAGGCACATTACCCATACATGACTTAATGGGAACAAAATATGTGGTGTTTACTTTTTTTACAAAGTTGTCTTATATTTCAAAAAAATTATCGACATTTTTGCCCTTTTCAAAGGTTCTTGAAGGCAGATCTTATCTTCTACAACATCCATGGGTGGGAATTGTGAACAGATTACAAGCTGATATTATAAAAAAAAAAATACCGATATGATATTCGTAAGGCGAATGGAACAAGAGTATTTTTATACAAGTACTGATTATGGACTCCTGGCGAGGAAAATGGGTTCAGAATATCTACCAAAGCTTCTCTCATAGGTAAGGTCACTTCCGTCCTTTCTTCTTTAAAAGCAATATAATTTTGACATTTATTTATTTATGTATTTCAGGTGCTTAATTATTTATCGATTTCCGTGGATTACGATACTTCATGGGCTTTAATACTGGCTGCACTCTCTGATCTAGTGACCTACCCACTTTGTATTTTATTTAACTGATCTTTGTTTTTATTTAATTATGGAGTGATTATTTAAAACACTTAACCATGCTGAATATGTAATTGCAGGGACAATAATCATTTCATCAACTACTTCATTTTCTAAATTTCTATATAAGACCTATCAAAAAATCTCCTGTATGTTAAATATATCTTCATCAATATAATGGTATGTTGCAGTACATATACAACCTGAAAGAACAAAAAAAAATTAAGTCAGTGCCAACGGGCGCGCATGATTCTCATCTAGTTTTTATTGATTTTTAAAAAATTATTTTTTAAAACAAATGTAATTTTTTTGAAAAAATTGAAGTTTTTATTCTAAATGCAGTTTTAAAAAAAATTGCTGTTTTTTTTTTGAAAAAAATGCAGTTTTTTTTTTTAAAAAAATTGCAGCTTTTTTTTTTTGAAAAAATTGCAGTTTTTTATTTAAAAATGCAGTTTTTTTAAAATATAGCAGTTTTTTTTTAAAATATGCAGTTTTCATTTAAAAATTGCAGTTTTTTTTTGAAAAAATTGCAGTTTTTTTGAAAATTGCAATTTTTATTGAAAAAAATGCACTTTTTTTTGAAAATTATGGTATTTTTTAAATATTCCAGTTTTTTTTTAATTTTATTGATTTTTAAATGCTTTTAAAAAAATTGCAGTTTTTTAAAAAAAATTCAATTTTGTTTTCAAAAATTCATGTTTTTTATAAAGAATTAAAAAATCTGCATTTTAAAAAAAAATTGAAAAATACTAATTTTTTAAAAATCCGAAATTTTGATTTATTATGTTATTTTGTAGACGTTTCTATTAATATTTCCAATAACACAAAAAATTAAACATTAAATGAGTTTGGTAAGATTAGGATCATGTCTTTAATGAATTATTTTTGATCTAACGCTCCACTTTTAGTTCTCGGGTTCTCGGGAAACCATGAGTTCTCAACCGAACTCACCCCTATATATAGGAAGGATCATTTGAGAACCTATAGTTTCCCAAGAATCCGAGAACTAAATGTGGAACGTTAGATCAAAATTTTTAATGACCTAGATCAAAGATGACATATTTGTAAATATTATCAACTTTAATGGTATATTAGGTTTTTGAAAAATTATCATAAGGGCAAATCAGGTATATGAAATTTTTATCCAAAAAATCATTTAAAACATTCATTCTCTCTCTTTCTTCTCTCAATATACAAACCCTAGATCGGCATATCCTCCACACGTCTTCTTCACCGACGAGCGCCTCCTCCCTCCTCCGTCGGTCACTCCTAACCTTCCGATCGTCCTCTTCCTACCTTGTCATGTCTAAGTGTCTCTTTTCGTCTTCATCTTCCATAGCTAGAGCTACGCCCCTACCCGGATTTTCTCGAATCGTCCAGTCTACGGTTTCTCTTTCAACTCCCTCCGAGTGTTCGCACCAGGCACTGTTCGTCTTAAATCTATCTGATGTCGTGTAACCGCGTCGGAGGTGATTATTCTTGTGACAACCCGAAATTTCTATCTTGTAAAGTCAACCAATTCAATCAAAAGTCAGACTTGTATCTGTTACCTTTTAGCCTTGCTAAGGGTTATTCTATGAGTTTTTAAGCCTTGTACACTTAGGATTTGATACTAAGAAGTGTGAGTAATGGATCTATGGAATGCATTCGAGCCAAGAACATCAACAAGGGATGTTAACGGCCACAAACTAGGTTCACGGCCGTGAACCCATGTTTGGCCGTGAACCCCTCACTACACATATAAATTTCCTTCATTTTTCTTGGTTTCTCACATACTTCAGCCAAAAACTCTCAAACTCTCTCAAGTATCATCAAGGGAAACCTTCCTTTCTCTTCAAAAACGTAAGTGATTCATCCCGAGTTACTAGTTAATCTTCATATACAAGTGAAACCCTTTGATAACATCCTTGAATTCATCACTTTTCCTTCAAGATCTTTAAATCACCATCTTCTTCACCAAGAACACGAAGAACACACACTTGTTCTTGGGCCGTGAACACTCTAAAATCTTCCAAATCGTAAATAGCTCATTCAACTTCTAGTTGTCCATTAGAAACACTAGCATCCCCATGAAACAAACACCTCTTTGGCATGATTCTTCAAGAGTTCACGGCTGTGAACCGTTCATTGGGTCATGAACCCTTCGTAGTGTAACATCCTGTTTCGGGTCGTCAGTGGTTAGGGTTCGTGGGCTGCAACACGGGCATGAGGAAGTCTCGGGGTGGCGATGAGTTGCTAGTAGCGTAAGTATCTCGACACCTTTCCGAGGATATGAGATTCATTGGAAACAGAGTTATATCGAGGAAGCAATGGAAGTTTGAAGTTATGGCAGGATAAGTCCTTTATTTGAAAAAGGTGGCAGCGGAGTACGTTGGGCGTACATGTGTGTACGCTTAGCGTACTCATGTGTGTGACTTTTAAGCGGAGCCACCTAGTACGTTGGGCGTACTAGGCACAGAAGGAAAACCCTAATTGAGAGGAGTGTCCCTATATAAAGAATGAGATGGCCTCCTCATTCCTGGCCACCATCCTCAGTCAATAAACCCTCTCAAACCCTAATCCTCGTTCTTGAGCTTATGTGTGACCATGGTGAGCTTTTAAGTGTTCTTGTGGGATTATTGGAGTGAAGAAGGAGCATGGAAGAGAATAGAGTTGGAGTCTAGGCTTTGGATCTGAGCTTTTCTGTGGTTGGAGCACCATTTGAAGGTATAAAGCTCAAAGCTTTCCCATCCTCTTGTTTTGTGCATGATATGGTCCATTTTAGGGTTTTTTGGTCACAAAGCTTGAGGCTTTATGAGTTGTTGCACTCCAGAGCTTAATATCTGTCCTTTGAAGTGTTTCTAGTGGAGAGGATCCATAAAAATGTGGTCTTGAACGTGAGAATTAGCCCATGCATGAGATATGAGCATTTTGAGTTAAGAGAGTAAGAGTTTTGTGTGTTTGTGACCTTATCAGCCATGCAAAGGCTTAAAGTCACTGACTTTATGGAGTGAGAGAGATTAGGGAGTCCAGATCTGAGAAATGAGCTAAGGTCTTAACGGGTTAAGACCAAGAGAATGGACGAAGCAAAACTGGGCGTACGCCCAGCGTAATTCTAGTACGCCCCGCGTACTGGGTTAGTGTCCCCGATCAGATTCGTGCATGCTAGTGTACGTTGAGCGTACCAAGGGAGGTACGCCCCGTGTAACCTCTCTGTGAGCTTTTGGGTTGAATTTATTATTGGCCCTTAAGGGTTGGGACTGGATCTTTGGGCTTGTGTATTAGTGACTTTGAGCAGAGAAATATTATATTGTGGTTTGGGCCCTTGAGTTGGGCTTGCCATTTAGATTGAGAATTGGGCCTTGGGAGAGCCCATCTATTATTGGGCCTTGGTGGGCCCAATGGGTTTTAGGTCATTGATGGGCTGGTTAGTGGACTACCTTTAGACCTAATGAGTGAGAGTTTGGACTTAGTTCCTAATTGAGATAATTATGGGTTTGGCATAGGGTTAGTGGTCGGTGCGTAGCAGCAACGTCTATAGGAGCTGTTCGTCATCCGAGGTGAGTCTTCTCACTATACTTACCGTGAGTGGTATCCTCATGTGACTGAGATGTTTTATGTGCTTATTTGTGTATTGTGATATTCTGCATTATGTCTCTGTGATTTATGCTGAGTATTGTTATTATGAGCTTATCGGGTTAGGACCGGAGGGTCCCACTGAGACACATTGACCGGAGGGTCTTATCTGAGTATAGCCATGAGAGGCTACTGAGATGTGTGTGGTATTTTGGGGAACTCACTAAGCTTCGTGCTTACCGTATTATGTGATATGTGTTTCAGGTTCTTCTCAGGATCGCGGGAAGGCGCCGGCTTGATTGTACACACCAGAGAAAGAGTTATGTTTTGAGGATCCTGGATTATTAATCAAACAATTATGGAGTTGTGTTTGAAAATTAAATAAATGGGGTTTTTGTGAAATGTGTTATGAGAATTATGTGATTTTTAAAATGAAAAATTTGTTTGAAAATTTACGGTGTTACAAGTTGGTATCAGAGCCTTGGTTTGAGGGATTCAGATGCACCTTCGGGTAAATCTGGACTCAAACTGAGGATTTGAGAAAAAATTTCAAAAGAAATGATTTTCTAAAACGAGCAAGAGTTCTAAGAGAAAAACGAGAAGGAGCAGTGTGTACAATCAGCCAAAGCCCGAACGGTGATTTCCCAAAAATACCCTTACTTATTTGTGTTATGAGTTATTATTGAGATATTAGTGATGCATGCTAGATGATAGGCTAGGTATTTCATTTTCTAGGGCTAGAGTTGCCTGATTTGTGATGCCTTAGCCTAGGAATTTTGCTATCTGTGATGTGCTTTGAATATGTGCTGAGTAAGAGTATCCAGTAGGAATCTTTTATAGAGAACTTTGAGTAGAGGAGTAATCTAGGTGAGATACCTAGATGAGTATTGGAGGAGCCTACTGGGAGAGTAGTTACATATCCGCGAGGGGGTAGAGTTGCTTGAGTTCAGTGATACCTTTAGAGTGTAAGTGGAGTGGTAACCTAGAGTGGTTTTATGTGTTTGTAGAGATTATTCGATGCCCAAATGCTGGTTGCTTCGTGCTTTGTGGAACTCTTGATGATGGGAGTCAGCTACTAAGTGAATATGACGATATTCAGGAGGTAGATGGCTGACATCATAAGGGGTTCTTCAGCAACTGATGACAGAGAAGTGAGGGAACCTAACAAGAGCCTAGGGAGTGGCCTTAGTCAGATTAGTACACTAATAGAGGGGAGTATTCGCCGGGAAGCGACCAGGTTTAACGGGATTGGTGATCGAGAAGGTTGAGGAGCTACTTAGGAAATCTGGGACGATCCGTGTGGAAAGTATGGGTAGATGTCGCAGGTAGTATGGGCCCGTACTACTGAAAGTAGAGGACCCGTACTCGAAACAGGGAGAATACCAGAGGTTCTAAGTAGCAAATTGAGAGGGGATAACATGGTTCGGGTACCATGATTCATAGCAGATTGATAGGAGATAACACGGTTCGGGTACCATGATTCATAGTAGATTGAGAGGAGATAACATGGTTCGGGTACCATGATTCATAGAAGATTGAGGGGTGATCACATGGTTCGAGTACCATGATTCGTGGAGGTTAGTGCTTCTGGTTTT